GTGTCTCTGAATGGTACCCATGGCGAGAGGTCAACCCCCGGTGGTTACTATGCATTCTCTAATTAGACTATGTGAAGATTGTGATGTCATCACCTCGCCTTTTGCACCTTGTTCAATAACAGAACATTTTGCATTCATTGAGAAATAGCAAGGTGTTCTATGAATGGTACCCATAGCGTGCAGTCAACCTCCGGTGGTTAATATGCATTCTCTAATTAGACTATGTGAAGATCATGATGCCACCACCCTGCCTTTCCACCTTGTCCAAAAAGAGAACACCTTGCATTCATTGAGAAATAGCAAGGTGTTCTGTAAATGGTACCCATGCCGAGGGGTCAACCTCCACTTACTATGCAGTAGGGCAGTCGCTCATCACAGGTCCCAGAAGACAATGGCGTTCCATGTAGTAATGGCGCCTACCAAAGAGGTTTCCAGCTTCAACAGGGATCCCACAGATAAGGCACATACAGACTTATATTACTTCAAGCTGGACCAATTTAGCAATGCTATAAAATCTATACCTAAACGTAAGCTTTAAATGCTCATTTAGTTTAGGGTGGTAAAAGTACTTTTTCTTTCCTGATCCCCCCCTCCTCTATACTCTGACTTTAGTCTGTCCCTCAATGTCCTCACATCCAGTGCAGGGCTATGATCTACTTTCTGAGCCTGGAGCCTGGAACAAACATGTAGCGAAGGGTTTTGACTTCATTCTGATTCTCTAATTTGCATGTTTGTTCTTGGTCAGTGACTTGGAAAGTATTGAAACCAGAGACAGCAAGGCAAGTAGCATTTTCATATGGCTGTCGCTAATGCCTGCCTCCACATTTTTCTTAGTGCAGAGTTACTTTGACCATGTGTCGTTTATACAATGTAACCATTATTTTATAAAGCATTTTTTGCCTGTTTTGTTTGGTAAATAGTTACCAAGGTTATTTCTGGTACAATATAACGTTTTATACTACGTTAGATTTATTTCTCATATGTAAAGACACAACTCATCTATTTACTCATCAAATACTTAGCTAAGTTAAACTGGCCATACATGGATTGAAATTTTGCTGGTTCAGCAGGGACAGGTCGAATTTCGATCCATGTGTGGGGACTTTGGTTGTACAGAAGTCAATCAGTAGATTGACTTCTGTACAACTGCCCTGTCTGATATTTCCTGCTTGATCCGCTTCGCAAGCTATAGCCAGTAGTACTGATCAGTGTATTCTGAGGGTAGTGAAGCCTCCTCGCTGACAGAATACAATAGCCCAGCAGGAGTAGGTATGTCTCTAAAACTGGGGAGATATTTGCTTGTTCTTGAAGGCCCTACCTGACAGCAATTCTCAACTCACAGTATTTGCAGAACACATACTTTGCTCCTCCACTCTTCTACATACCTATACAGACTTTTCAGACAGGTTGGGAAACCACTTTGTGCTATATCAAGCACTTCTGACCACCATGTTTATCACTGCTAAAATGGTAAAAAAAATGGCCCAGTTATCTTGAGCAATGCTTGAAAATAGAAGCATCACAAAGGCAGCCCATACATAAACAGTGGGTTGAAAAAAAAAAAAAAAAAAGACCCGATTCCTCCAAGGGCTGGCTTTGTGAGGCTTCTATTTTTAAGCATTGCTGAAGATAACTGGGACAGTTTTTACCATTTTAGGGGTGAGATGATAAACATGGTAGTCAGTGGAGCATGATAGAGCACAAAGTGATTTCCTAACCTGCCTGAAAAATCTGTATAGGTATAGAAAACATTGAAGGAGCAATCTGTGTGTACCGCTAATACTGTTGAGAACCTCTGTGAAGCAGGTCCTTCAAAATAGGCAAATATCTCCTCAGTTTTAGAGACATATGTACCTGTCTATTATTCCCTTTAATCAGATAAAGTTGTGGTACTCATAGCCACCTATAAACAGGAGCATTCTACGCCTTTGTATTAACCCCTTCCCCGCACAATGCCTCATTCAGAGAGATCATTAATCTACGTTGCCCCTTTATAGCAATGCGGACTACATGCTATAATTTTTTTTCGCTCAACCCAGCAGACTAAATTTTAAAAAACGTACAGATCGCCATACTATCACAAGTGTTGTGATCTCTCCTCCGCTGAGCTGCTGTATTCTGGCTGGGCCCCCCCCCACTGCCAGAACACATTGATCAGTGCTGATCAAATGCTGATTTCCCAGCATGCCCGTTCGACAGAAGCCAGTCGTTAGAGCGGCTTCTGTCAGACAGGGAACTGTACACACAGGCCGAAAGTCAGATGGTTCTTCTGAACCAACCGCTATAGGAAGGTTTTTGGCCTGCGTGTACCCAACCTTAGGGCACGCTCTTTACTACAGGTTGTGAGACTGACAGCTCCAGTTTTCCATTAGCAATCAGCATGGTTCTAGATAATGTGATCACTATGTGAGACAGAGATCACATGGCTTTGTTTATAATAAAATGCTAGTTCGGTAACAGCGGTAACTGCATTTTTTACTACAATCTAGAACTTTTCCTAAAGAAGGAAGCAACAGTTAAAGTTTTTTTTGTCTATTTGTCAGCGTATAAAAAGGAAATCTGAGCAAGGAGTTTATTAAAATTTTAAACCAAAAAAAATTATTTAGGTATGTAAATGAATCAAAGTTATGGTCAAATTTAATGACGCATACTGGCTCTGTTAAATTTGGTGTGGTTTTCAATGACCTCTGGTCATGAAAGGGTTAAAGTTTAGCCAACACTTTTTGCTAATTTAGCGTGCAAAAGTACTAGATTGCTGTGTCATTTTTTTGTGAGACATTACCTTATTTCCTGTCTTGATGATGGGCATCAGATGGAACAGAAAGTAAGGGAAAATGTCCCCACTTTCTGTCTGTTGGACTGGTGTCAGACAAAACATGAAATAAGGGGAATTCCTCCAATGTGGACACAGGGAGCAATAAAGACAATTTTTCTAGTACAGTGAGGAAGATTTAGAATGTTTGTAAAGATTTTATTGCTGGCTCTGTCCCCATGTAGGGGACATAGCAGGGCTACAGTGAGGAACAGAAGTATTTGAACACCCTGCGATTTTGCAAGTTCTCCCACTTAGAAATCATGGAGGGGTCTGAAATTCACATTGTAGGTGCATTCCCACTCTGAGAGACAGAATTTAAAAAAAAAAATTCAGGAAATCACATTGAATGATTTTTAAAGAATTTATTTGTCTTGCACTGCTGAACATAAGTATTTGAACACCTAAGAAACGGCAAGAATTCTGGCTCTCAAAGACCTGTTACTGTGCCTTTAAAAAGTCCACCTCTACTCCACTCATTAATCTAACTTAGTAGCACCTGTCTGAGCTCTTTAAAGACACCTGTCCACCCTACAGTCAATTTGATGCCAACTACTACCATGGGCAAGACCAAAGAGCTGTCAAAAGACACCAGAGACAAAATTGTGGACCTCCACAAGGCTGGAAAGGGCTACGGGGCAATTGCCAAGCAGCTTGGTGAAAATAGATCAACTGTTGGAGCAATTGTTAGAAAATGGAAGAGGCTAAAGACGACTGTCAGTCTCCCTCGGACTGGGACTCCATGCAAGATCTCACCTCGTGGGGTATCACTGATGATAATAAAGGTGAGGAATCAGCCCAGAACTACAATGACATGAAGAGAGCTGGGACCACAGTTTCAAAGGTCACTGTCGGTAGAACACTATGCTGTCATGGTTTCAAATCATGCATTGCACGGAAGGTTCCCCTGCTCAAGTCATCACATGTCCAGGCCCATCTGAAGTTTGCCAATGACCATCTGGATGATCCAGAGAAGGCATGGGAGAAAGTCATGTGGTCAGATGAGACCAAAGTAGAACTTTTTGGTCTAAACTTCACTCGTCGTGTTTGGAGGAAAAAGAAGGATGAGTTGCATCCCAAGAACACCATCCCTACTGTCCCTAGCCATGGGGGTGGTAACATCATGCTTTGGGGGTGCTTTTCTGCGAAGGGGACAGGACGACTGCACTGTATTAAGGAGAGGATGAATGGGGCCATTTATTGTGAGATTTTGAGAAACAACCTCCTTCCCTCAGTCAGAGCATTGAAGATGGGTCGTGGCTGGGTCTTCCAACATGACAACAACCCGAAGCACACAGCCAGGATAACCAAGGAGTGGCTCCGTAAGCAGCATATCAAGGTTCTGGAGTGGCCTAGCCAGTCTCCCAGACCTAAATCCAATAGAACATCTTTGGAGGGAGCTGAAACTCTGTGTTGCTCAGTGACAGCCCTGAAACCTGACAGATCTAGAGGAGAACTGTGTGGAGGAGTGGGCCAAAATCCCTGTTGCAGTGTGTGCAAACCTGGTCAAGAACTACAGGAAACGTTTGACCTCTGTAATTGCAAACAAAGGTTTCTGTACCAAATATTAACACTGATTTTCTCAGGTGTTCAAATACTTATGTTCAGCAGTGCAAGACAAATAAATTCTTTAAAAATCATACAATGTGATTTCCTGAATATTTTTTTTAATTCTGTCTCTCAGAGTGGGAATGCACCTACAATGTGAATTTCAGACCCCTCCATGATTTCTAAGTGGGAGAACGTGCAAAATCGTAGGGTGTTCAAATACTTCTGTTCCTCACTTTATGTCACTGAGAGTAACCACTAATACCTTACAAATCAACATTTTCTAGATGACTACCAGAAACAGTCAACACAGTTATCCCTCTCAGTTTGACAGGACAGTGGACATCATACTTGCAGATACAGTACTGTATAATCAATTTGCAACTGTTTCTTTCTCACCCTGCTTACTCATTTCTTTTCTATTTTTTATTCCAGACCCTCCAAGAAATTTGCAGCATAAAATGGACTAAATGTTCATTTTATGGCTCAGAGCTGATCCATGCAGGGTGTAATTCCATACACCAGGCTTAACGCAACTGCCAAGATGAGTGTATACCAACAGTACTTGAATGTATCCAAGATTTTGGAACATTATAACTACACAAAGGGGTTACACAAAGAAAGCCCTTCCCGTGCAGTAATGTCCATCATATTTATCATCATCTGCTGCATCATTATTCTGGAGAATATTCTTGTCCTCATTGCTGTAATGCGCAACAAGAAGTTCCACTCTGCTATGTTCTTCTTTATTGGAAATTTGGCATTTTCAGACCTCCTTACGGGATGCGCCTACATTGCCAATATCTTGCTTTCTGGCAGAATGACCCTCACCCTGACTCCTGTATCATGGTTCATCCGTGAGGGCACGGCTTTCACAACCCTGGCTGCATCTGTCTTTAGTCTGTTGGCCATTGCCATTGAGAGACATGTTGCCATCACAAAGGTCAAGGTCTACAGCAGTGACAGGAACTGTAGGATGATCATCTTGATTGGAGCTTGCTGGGTTATCTCGATGGTAATTGGGGGCTTACCTATTATTGGCTGGAACTGTATTGGAAACTTGGATGAATGTTCCTTTGTTTTTCCCCTTTATGCCAAAAAGTACATTCTGTTTATAGTAACTATCTTCACCGCCATACTTTTATCCATTGTTATTTTTTACGTCCGTATATATTGTGTTGTTAAATCCAGCCATGCTGAGATAGCAGCACCACAGACTCTTGCCCTGTTAAAAAACAGTTACAATAGTTCTTGGAGTCTTTATTATCTGTTGGCTACCCGCTTTCACTATTCTCCTCATGGATGTGTCATGCAAAGTGAAATCCTGCAACATTCTTTACAAAGCTGACTACTTTTTTGGGTTGGCCACCTTGAATTCGGCACTGAACCCTATGATTTACACTTTGAGGAGCAAAGACATGAGAAGAGAGTTTCTGAGGGTTCTTTGTTGCTGGAGCTATTTACGCAGAAAAAAGACTCCCGACAGGTGTATGTTACATATACGTAGCTCTAGCTCTCTGGAACGCTGCACACAAAAACACTATTTTCCCACATCACCTATCATAAAGGACTGCAATACATTTGTGTGAGAAAGTTGGCGTTCAGGGGTTTCTGATTATAAACACCTCAACATTCTGATGGCGGGTTGGTTGAAATGAGAAGACAACCACAAATGTGTCTGGGCTTAGGTACCCATCAGAAGGTAGTTGGCCAGGAAGGTATTTCTATGTTGTCTAATTACATTTCCTTATATTTCTGGCTGAACCCTTTTACCTGCCAGATTTGAGGGCTATGTCCTGTAAAGGGAAAGTTCTCAAAAGTATTTAGCACTCTGATTTACTTTTGTATACATTACAAAACAATCCAGTATGTCAGAGGCTTAATGTGAAAAATGTAAGTATTGTGAAGTCCCTATAGGCACTTTATCTAGAGGAGAAAAAAGTAGTTATTCTGTATGTGGTAGAAAAAAAACCCAACTCAACACTCCCTAAATGAATGCACATCCAATTTAAAAGACATTTAGCTTTATAAATGTCTTGCAGCATTAAGTACTACACAGGAATGCAATCCTGTTATTATGAAGGTAGCAAGAGTTGCAGAAGCTCACAAGCTGTTAATGTTAAAGTGTACATTTTTAAATTTGATTTTTGTATAGAAGACTATGGAACAGTGTTTCTGGCACATAAATGCAATAGGTAATATGTACTTTTTTCTTCAACAAAAGAGAGTAAATTGGTATCAATTGTATGCTGTTCTTATCAAGGAGCACTTTTTGGGTATTTATTTAAGAACACTGATTCTGCCTGATAACATACTGCACTTAAGACTGGGCTGGACAAATCCCAAGAACCAGTTAGCTAACCTAAAAAGCCACCAAAATGATGGACTCTTCTGTTACAAAAAGTAGAAGGACCTTCTCCCTGGCTTTGTTAGGAATCATGTACAACAGGGCTTTTTTTAAGCTGGAACTTGGTGAAACTCAGTTCTATTACCTTTGGCTCAGGCCTTCTCCTCCCTGCTCACCAGTTTCACTTGCAAACACAGAATCCTGGCTTCTGTGCTTACAAGTGATAGCTTGTCCCCCAATGGCTCCCACAGGTCTGATTACCTGAGCCGCGCCCACTGAGTGCAGAATGGGGACAGGGGAGTTACAGGTGCCTGGGGTGCAGTGCAGATGCCAACAACCCCCCTGGATGACCTTCCTGCAAGTGCGTGGAGGTACTAGAGCCGGCTGGGTGTTTCAGCTTAATACAAAAGTAAGACATGTGGAAGATGGTGAAGCTTTTAAGGTGGGAGGGGGAAAGATGGGGGCATTCAAGGTGGGGTTGCATGCAGAGGTCAAAGCTGGAGAGGGGTGAAAGTGAGATGTGGATGGGGATGCAGAGGTAAGAAGCTGTGGAAGAAGAATGAACTCTGTACTCTGTGTGTAGCGCACCCCTGAACTCTGTACTCTGTGTGTAGCGCACCCCTGAACTCTGTACTCTGTGTGTAGCGCACCCCTCAACTCTGTACTCTGTGTGTAGCGCACCCCTGAACTCTGTACTCTGTGTGTAGCGCACCCCTGAACTCTGTACTTTGTGTGTAGCGCACCCCTGAACTCTGTACGTAATGCATTCCTGGTATTTAATGCCCTTTTAAGACCCTCCCACTGTTAGTGAAATTTGAGCACATTCGCTATTTGATGTGGTTTGAATGGTGTGTGGGGGGGGATCATGGTTGAGTTCCCACATCTATTTTCGGAGAAAAAAAGTCCTGATGTACAGTATGGCATGTATAGCTATATGATTTCTACAGTTATGTTCTTAGATGTCCATTGGCTGGTGAAAGGGAAATGCTTACTATCTTTGTGGCCAGCACAGTCTGTTAAGCACACAAAGAGAAAGTCATAAACTTTGACAGGACAGTCATGTCCTTGTGCTCACCAAAGCACATCTAACCACTTGCTGGCAGACATCAATGTAAAATGCGTTTGTCACATTGAACATGATCACTTTTCAGGTGGGAATAAATATTCAAGATAGCACCCTGACAGAGGACCAAAGAGACATCTGAATCTTTTATGGTGTGGAGCTACATATTCCATAGTGTACAACATGTCTCAAGAACTAACATTTGAAATACCAAATGTGCCTTTCTCCAAAATAACTATTGAAGCCTCTGGTAATAGGCTTTTATTTACTCAAACAGGATTTTCATTCCCATGCAAGTCAATGGAAATGCATAACCGGCTTGAAGCATGTCAGAGGATAGTCAACAGTAGGCCAGTTGCACCATTCGATGAACTCTGAATGATCTCAGAAGCATTTCAAACTGATATCATTGACACAAGCCAACAACTTGTTAACTCAGGCCCTTGCTGTCTTACCTTATGTAAAATATAATTGCATTTCCCAGTTAGCCCTTACACTTTCTGAGTATCCAGCTCCATTGCTTTTGTCTCAGCAGGGCACACATATGTCACTAAGTATTGCATCTACCATCCCTGCATTTTTTATTGTAAGATATATCTATCAACCTTGAAAGTCAGGACAGCCTACACATAAGTAAACTGGCAGAGGCAACCTCTGTCGGCACTTAATTTGAACAATTGTGGCATCATAATTCAAATACTTTTCCTATTGATTACGGTCAAACAAAACCCCAGCTAGGGTGCTGCCAATGTATAATTACAGTGGGTAAAATATAAGTGCAGAAATCAAGAATGTTCCATCACTTAAAAATGTCATGTCATGTATAGCAGAGCAAACGGTTCTCACAATGTTTTTTAGAAGAACTAATTTCTTATGAACACTTCAGCATGTACACTGTTATCCAACTGAGGTATTAAAATTGTTTACATTGGCCAGGAAAAAAACCCATCAGCATAGAGGCTCTGAAGCAGAGAATGTTGAAACCAGATGATTTTTCACTTAGTTTTGTGATGATAATTAAAAAGTAAGCCTGTTTTTTATGGAGAGACATAAAACAGACCCATGCTCGCTTGGACTTCCTGTGGGAATGTTTTCATCCCAGTAGGAAGTGGACCTGCAAGCCTCGAAGTGTCAACAAACTTAAAACAACAGAATTATCATGAATTATTGTGAATTCTGATATTGACTCTGAAGCCTTGTTTTTAAAGAAGGAGTATAAGGAAACCTCTCAAAGCGCTTTGTCTTATTTGCGGAAATAATACGCAATCCAGGAACTTAAAGCTGAACTCCAGGAAGAAAATACATAGCTGAAATACATATAAGGAAGCAGGGGTGGACTGGGAACTCATGGGCCCCCCCGGACAATAAGAAATCATGGGGCCCCCTATGTCCCTGCCCACACTCAAGCCACACCTACACAAAGCCCCACCTACATATTGCATTGCCCCCCTTTCCCTCAGGTATCCCTGGTCTCCCCTACCCTTGGATTCTTTCACCCCTCCCCAAGTACCCCCTCTTCCTTCCAGTGGTGTCCCTGGTATCTCTCTCATCCGATCCTTCATCCTCCAGCTCTGGGCCAGGAATTTTCAGCCCTCGATCTTCTCTGCGTGTCTCTTCTTCATGAAGGCGGCCAGTAGGGTCCAGTCACTGAGTTTGGTGTCCTCTTCCTCCCCAGGGAGTCCCACCAGTCCCGGGCTCTGTAGCTACATCCTGTCCGGGACACTCCACCGTCGGTCTATGGGCGCCACCATATTGGCTGCTCTCAGCATGCGCTGCGTGGACATTTAGTCTGGAACACCAATACTGGGCGATTCATGATAGACTGTGGAGGGAGGGATGGGTGTCAAAGACACGGAGTGTCCAGAGAGGCAGAGACTTAAAGATGGCGGCCCAATAAAGGTACCATGAGCCTCTCATGGGGCTGGACCCCCTACTAGCCCCAGGCCCTTGGACAGTGCCTGAATGGTAAGTCTGCCCTTGTAAGGAAGTTATTTTAGCTTCTGAAGAGTTTAATTTTTGTCCCTCTAGTCCTGAAAATTACAAAGCCCTGCCAGATAACACAGCTATGTTGGTGACCTGACTTTTCTTTACCGCAGTTAGGCTGTACAGCTAAGTCACCTAGCAGTTGCTAGTCTGTAACAGCACAGTGAAGGAGCAGCAGGTTACCCTCTGCTCTCCTCTTTTCAGCATTTTTTTGTCAAGATGTCTGCAAGCAGCACACCTGGTGTGTGCTGCTGTGTAGGGAAACAGGAGAGGCTGAAAAAAGACAGATTTAAGCACTTATAAGAGTTGTATTAAAAAGAAATTTAACAATGCTTTAATGAATACATAACTGCTTTAATTTGTGATTTTGTTGCCTGGAGTTCAGCTTTAAAGAAGAAACATCCTATGACATTTATGATCAATGAACTGTTTTATTTTTGGTAGAAAAGTAAACAGGTTTTGTTTGGGAACTCCCCAGGTGTAGCATAAGGAGATGTGTATGTACAATATACTGTAGATCACAATTATCTTCACACCCTTCCTGCCTGAAAGGCCCAGTCTTAGTAACCTGCAGGAGACCCATCAGCTGCACCAACATCTCCCTGGAAGTCGGAGACTGTCCGCTGAGTTC